CAGTCACAGCGAGGGAAGTGCAAGAATGCCAAGTACTACTTTGTAAGGGTAAAACTGAGGTTTAAGAAAACCTGGCATCCCAAAGTACCATGAAGTTGCTTATCTGTTTTATCCCTGTGACAAGGAACTACAGACCAGTATCACCTCAAGAATGGTAAACGCTGCCAGTTAGGCCAACCATGCAGCTGGATCCACTCCTAACTAGACTCGTCTAGCCGACTCACATCAGAGATCACAGCAGAAGTACACTTAAGAAGAACAGCATGAGTAAGCATCCATTCCCCAGGAATCAAGAAAATAATGATCAAGGTCTCAGCTTCTTTAGTGGGATATTTGCTATGAACTCTTTATTATGCAGAATCTCATCACCATTGAGATGTACAAAGCAAGCCCACAGCACAGAACCTTAGAAGAACAACTTGTTTTATATAGATCTGCCCTGTTTCTATTCCCTCTGTTCATACAACATTCATTCTTCTACAAGATAAAAATGTCCAAGATTCTACACAGCCAGCGGCAAGGAAGTCCTCCTAAGGTAAGATACTGTGTAGAAGAACACCAGAGAATGTTTATGGATCCCTTAATAGTAATATGTATCCTGCCTTCTGACTGAGAGAACAGTGTGGCAAAGGAAGACCAAGGTACAACTAGTCTTGTCAAAGATCACAACTGTCATAGACCTTGGGAAGCAAGGACTTTGTTTGCATCTCCTTCCAGGTGTTTTATACTACATCAGGAAATAAGTCAGTAGACTTAGTGCCGTACACAGATTTAAGACCTAAGGCTTGGGGCTATCCTGACTATCAGACTTTACTCTTAATTCTGAGGGACCCATTGTGCTTACCAGTGGCCGTGGAGAGTGAGGGCTGCAGCCAGCGAATAGTCCATGGCTGGTCCAGGATACAGGTAGGCTGCAGGAAGGAGACCCAGCAAGAGGACACTGACAGCTCGCTCACCTGTCCAGTGCAAAGACGCAGCCTTGGAACTGCCTGTAGGGAGAAGTGTTTTTCAGTGAAAAGTTCCTGTTAGAAGTGCTGTAACCTTAAAACCCGATACCTCATCCTGATCAGCACCACACAATCACGTGTCTTCTCCGACCCGATTACTATGCTTTCATCCAAGCGAAACCTAGATGCCTTTGAATTACTGCTATAGAATATATATCTATTTTACAATGTCTAAAAGGTTAATTTTAAATACTCCTCTCTTTGCTGCTGCTAAGAAAGAGAAGCTTCTTTTAGTACAAAAGAACAGAAGCTCAACAGGTAAAGTCGAACCAAACACCAGTCCTACTTTCACAACCTGCGGTTCAGGACTAAGGTCCAAGTCAACCGTCACAGGAAAGAAGTGTCTGTGAAGGCAAAGCCTTTTTGTCTAGTCGATTTCCTGACTGTTACCTACTATTTACTGCTCCCACCTTTTAAGAAACGGCTTTGAGATCCAGATGGACACAACTACAAGTTCCAGTGAATGGCACATCATGATAACTTTATGCACAGTTCTGCCCAGGAACCAATATTGCTATTTTTAACTGTAAATAGCAGATTAAACTTCTGGGACCACCACGGTGATATATGGCCTAGAAACAGCCTGAAGGCCAAAGGATTTCAGTCCTCCATTGATACTCAGCTGGGTACAATTTGAACCACGTAACAGAGGACTCTAGAAATAGAAATACCAGTTAAGGAGCTCTGTAACCAACTCTTACTTTTTAGAAGCATGCAAATACTATTAGGGAGGAAAAAAAACCCCAAAAACATCTAGAAGGTTCTGGAGCAAACCAAAACCCTAACACCATAAGCAATACTTCAAACCAGAACGTCAGCATTGGCCCAGCCTAAAAACATCAAGAACTGACTCCTTGAAATTACCTTCATAATACGATACCCCCAAAGGGCTTACCTAACACACAGGTATCACCCATCCATCTAAATCAAAATGCAAATGTTTTTCTTTGGTTTTGCAAGGAGAAAGAAATCTAGAAAAGCAACAAGATAAGGAAAGCAAAGGACCTGAAGTAAAACATGAAAGGGACCTAGGCTGTGGACTAGTAAGCTGTCCCTATAGAACTCCATGACCAAGAATGCTTTGCAGCCTATGCATGAAGTCTGTTGTTAATATGAAGTCCAGAATAGAAAGGAAAGAAGGAAACAGCTTAGTTATGTTTAAGTCAATTTCCTTTACAAGTGTTTCATCATCCTTTCCACTTCTAAGTTGCATTGTAACATCTACAAAACATTCCTAACCTCCGGTCACAACATTTCTCATATTTAATTGTGCAACTGACAGACCAGAACTTGTTCTTGGCACGGTTATCTTTCATCACCTCTGCGTAGCGTTACCACATGGAGAGAGGAAAAAACAATCTAAGAAATACTCTCTGCCTGCACATCAGACTTCCCAGATTAACCTCAGTGAATGACAAGCTCTGCTGTTCAAGAAAGAAGTCACAACTGCAGTGCTACTGAACCATAAGAAATGTTAAGTCTTGTGATTTTTTTAAGTCTTTCAACCTTTTTTCCACACTCAAAAAAACTACCACCTTTGTTAACAAGCAAAGATTTACTTTTTTAACATCCAGTTAATATCTCCTATTTGAAGACTTGCAGCGTTCTCAAGCTTGACACCGACATCGCAAACGTCAGTTTCAAATTCAAGCAGTGTAAAGCCACATATACCTTGTTTTAAATCAGACCAGGGCAGAGTGCACATCAACAGCCGTGCTACCAACTGAAAATAGGAGCGTCACAGGCGATGGTAACACGCTGTGGTAATATCGGTAAGCATACCTCACCCAAGAAAAACGACTCTGCCGTGCGTCAATTTTTTCTGCCCTTGGTTACTCGCACCTGCGGCTTAAAATCTCCTACCAGGCTCAGAAAATGGGCAAGCCTGACCAGACGTGGCACACGAAGACCAGGCCGTTTGGCTGGACTGCAGAAATCCTTCCGAGGACGGGGGAAGAG